GACTCGGGCAGTCAGAGGGCCAATAACTAAAATCAACCAATCAAAATGCTCTATTGCTGGTCAATATTCTCTCAGTATTGGACCAGGCACTGTCCCGAATGGTCCCAAATGATACCGCACTTGTGTCCCTTTGAACTTCAGTCGTATTATAAATCTCTTATTAACCAAGCTTGCTCGGGACTGTACTGGAAGATATTGGCCCTCGGTCTTTTTTGTACAGACCTGGCTGCATTCAGTCCGTACTGTCAAGACCTCCGGCCGATATTCTCCCAGTACAGCCCTCCCGCTTGGTTAATAAGATATATTTAACAACTACACGTGATAAAGCCAGAGAAAAAAAATTAAATAAAAAAACAGTATCCCAACTTCAATGGGGCTGGAACCCTGATGATATGACTACCATTATGAACCCACTGCCACTCTTTGTTAAAGGCAAGGGCGAGACCTGCCTCTGTCTGTTATACCAATTAATATCTCAGAGGACAAAAAGCATACGAAAAACACTTACCTTGTCACCAATCATGGCAACTAAGGGCTCCAACTTAATCACAACCTCCCACAAACAGCCTGAGAACAAAACATGACAGAAGCATTTTTGTCACTGACGTTACTTGGAAATACACAAGGTTGATTTTCCCAGTCCCAAGAAAACTGAACAGCCCAGAGAACACCCTCAGGCACAGGGATATAAATCTACAAAAAAACTCTTACTATTAGAAAAATTCGCATCAAGACACACCAACATTGAGAAATATTCTGACTAATTATCTGCTTTCCCTCCTAGCTTCCCCACTCTCCAAGGAAAAATCTTACTGTGGAAGTCCCTTTTTAGTTAATTATGAGTCAATTAGATTTCTCATAGCAATAAAGGATGATAAGATGCAACACTTTCAAGAACCTAGTACAGTTGAATACAAAACTTACCAAGTTTAGCATCTATAATGATGTTTGGTTGAAACACAATCCAGTTTTGAGAATCTGGAATCAAGACCTTGTTAAGAAACATAGTGCTAGCACACAGTTAAAGGTAATTTATACAGTCATCTATCTGAAAATCCCTGTGTCGGATGTATGAATCTCTGAGAGGGTCTTAAGAGTTTTTCACATCCCATGTTAATAATATAGCAAATAACATCCTCTTTATCCAACAGCTGGGCTTAAAATTTACTATCTTCCCTTATCTATGTAATCTAATTATTAATCTTATTGCATGCATGAGTCTGTTTTTGGATACACATTTCACAGAAAACCCTCTTCTTTTTAACTGCACCTGTAGAATCCTTCTCATCTGAAAAATAAAAGATTGGAAGAAATCAGCACACTAAGATTAGATCCACAAATTTTCCAACCCAATCATGAACTCAAGACAATTGTACAGCCAAAAGCTCTGTTGTCATATTTCAAACTCTGAACATGGCTTACCTGATTGCAAGACTGCTTGTTCAAGTGGCAAAGGTGCAAGCACTGGTTGAAAGTATGTGATCTGTCCATCAAAATCTCCTCCAAGTCGAATATCAAACAACAAAGACATCTGCAAAATCAGAGCAGATGAGTTGAACCTCAAATATCTGGCCTCGTGGAGACTTAGTTTATTACTCCCCATGATCAAAAATATGAATATAAATGATCATAGATAATAGGACCAGAGAAGCAAGTCTAAATAATTGAAAAATGCGGATACTTGAGTTTGCTTTTCCCTTCAAGTTGACCAAAAAATTACCTTTGAAGTTTGATGATGGACAATTACCAGGTTATCCTATGGAAAACAATTTAAGTGAAGAACAATCAATCTGCTTATCAAAGCTGCAAATAGCCATTGGCAACCTTCCATAGCACTGAGTTGGAAAAAAGATACTTATTTTACCCTATTAATTAAAAGGAAAATTTCACTGTGACAAAGAAAATGCAAAGAGGTGAATGACTCAATCCCTCATGCTTTTATAGATCAGAACTGTGACTTCAGAAGGACGTTAAAGAAAACCCTCCCACTTCATCATTTATTAAATAAATTATTTAATAAACAAAATGACCCAACTTAAAGAGGTCGTTGCTTTCTATTTGGTTTGAATAAATTAAATGCTATAGCACAAAAATTGGTTCATGCCATGTGAAAAATAAAATAATCTGACCATGTCATTGTCTAGTTAAAATATATTTACCACAACATTGACTGCAAATCTTCCGTTCATGTTTAGTTGAAGAACAGCTACCTTCTTGGCTGGGATATCTCTACAATAACACATCTAAAAATTATTTTTTACTCTCAAATGACAAACTCTTCCATTATTATGGAAATTCAACAAATAATGATTGACTTTGGCTTACCGCTGTAGCTGGTAGAGAACTATCTCTGCCCCAGTTGGTCCAGTTGTTTGACTTCTCTGTTGGTTTCTGAGAATTACCACGTAGAGCTGGCCATCGCTGAAAGAACAGAAGTAAGAGTAAATTATGGAGCCTCACCAACACCAATCTGAATGCCATAGTAACCCTCTACACCCTAACATCAGTGTATATATTCTCTGTACTGCTCTCCATACATTTCTGAAGTTGCAAACAAGGAGAACGGGAGGTCGAGAGTTCAATACTGGCTGGACCAACACTCACGGTCTTAAAATTAATTGAGAAGAATATGCTTCCTTTCTTTAACATCAAGAAATGGTTAGATATTCTAGTCTTCTCGGATAGGGACAAATAAATGGAGGTCCCGTCTCCTGCAGGGTTGGGGTAGGAGACGTTAATTTCCCACGCACAAGATTACTGTGTGATGGATGTCCTCCCTGGGGTGGGTTGGGTGGGTAGGTGAAATCACTACGGACTAAACACGGCTGCCAGAGGCGCCTGTCTGATTTCAACCTTAAAAAAAAATTGTAACTAAACATGTATGTTGTTTAGAGAAATAGAGACCTTTACATATACCTTTAGAACTTGTTTAACAATCAAGAGACTGTCTTTAGTTTTTGATCACTTCCTTTATTCTTGTGTTCATAATGTTCGATTCAGGGGTGATATTGTAAGGAGAAATTAGATGCTAATCTATTCACTTTAAAGACGGTTTTCATGCACATTAGCACAGAGCAATATGATCCAATAAAAATCAAACTGATAAAATCAGAAGTCAGAGTTTCTGGAAAAATGGTTCATAACTAGGTTCATTTTGGAGTTGAAAGGTAACTGACTGGAATGGATTTTTGGCTGGACAGTTACGACTCACATGTTTGCAAGAGTGACATCCCTTTCCAACAGTGCAGTTTTCTGAGCTTTGGAGGCTGCAGGGATATCTACCTCAAACTTTGGTAGCCTCATGACAGACCCTGCCTGTAGTGATATGAAAAATGGAACAAAATAAAATGATGCTTTATTTTCCTTCAATTAATTTCAGATTAATAATTAAAAACCACCAACTCTTAGAGGGTCACCATATATAAATTTTGTAAAAAACACCAAACTGCCCAAAACACTTATAGAAAGGAACAGTCAATAAGTATTATTCCTCTATTTGATGAACATTCTGCACAGATTTACTTCAGTGATAATAATTGATTAACCACATTGGGAATAAAACTCACCCTAAAGTGATATGGATGAATAACATTTCCAAGGCCAGATGAAGACAATAGAAGAACCGCACTCTCAGGCTTCAGAGAAAGAAGATGAGAGAAGTTAAGGTAACTTGGGTCATAAATTTTTNAAGAAATTCAGTTATTTCATTAAAATATGGGCGCCTGTCTGATTTCAACCTTAAAAAAAAATTGTAACTAAACATGTATGTTGTTTAGAGAAATAGAGACCTTTACATATACCTTTAGAACTTGTTTAACAATCAAGAGACTGTCTTTAGTTTTTGATCACTTCCTTTATTCTTGTGTTCATAATGTTCGATTCAGGGGTGATATTGTAAGGAGAAATTAGATGCTAATCTATTCACTTTAAAGATGGTTTTCATGCACATTAGCACAGAGCAATATGATCCAATAAAAATCAAACTGATAAAATCAGAAGTCAGAGTTTCTGGAAAAATGGTTCATAACTAGGTTCATTTTGGAGTTGAAAGGTAACTGACTGGAATGGATTTTTGGCTGGACAGTTACGACTCACATGTTTGCAAGAGTGACATCCCTTTCCAACAGTGCAGTTTTCTGAGCTTTGGAGGCTGCAGGGATATCTACCTCAAACTTTGGTAGCCTCATGACAGACCCTGCCTGTAGTGATATGAAAAATGGAACAAAATAAAATGATGCGTTATTTTCCTTCAATTAATTTCAGATTAATAATAAAAAACCACCAACTCTTAGAGGGTCACCATATATAAATTTTGTAAAAAACACCAAACTGCCCAAAACACTTATAGAAAGGAACAGTCAATAAGTATTATTCCTCTATTTGATGAACATTCTGCCCAGATTTACTTCAGTGATAATAATTGATTAACCACATTGGGAATAAAACTCACCCTAAAGTGATATGGATGAATAACATTTCCAAGGCCAGATGAAGACAATAGAAGAACCGCACTCTCAGGCTTCAGAGAAAGAAGATGAGAGAAGTTAAGGTAACTTGGGTCATAAATTTTTCTGAAAAGTTTTACGGGTACCTCTCGGCTGTGAGGTTTGTAAAACTAAAGATCGTCATTATTCTAAAACTATACATCAATAGCTTAATCACTGCAGATGACCCTTCTGGCATTTAGAACAACTGCAAAGAGCACAGCCTGAGAAGAAAAAAAAAAACAGGATTTTCCCAGAGATTAAAACCCATACATTCCAAGGCCAGATAACAGTTGGGAACACCTACCAACTGAGCTAAAAAGCAACATGTCAAGACTGCAAGGAAAATTTCAACTCGCTGATGGTAAAATATTCATGAATACAGAAATAACATTTTGTCTTACCAAGAAGACAAACCAGTTGACTTGCACACTATAGTTCTTTATCATTTTAAGGCTTCGCTTTTCTGGTAATACCTTTGAAAAAATAGCACAAAAAGATTTATGATCCTTACTTTGGTTAACCCATAACTTGACCATCCTCAATGTAAATCATTTGGATTTTTCTGTTACTAGAAGCTTGAAGAAAGTTGTTGGACACTGAGTTGTTACAAATATGGAACAAACATAAAACTAAAACCATAATTTCAATTCAATTTCTAAATACCATTATTATATCAATTAACACCTGTACCTGATAAAATTCTAGACCTTGATTTGTAATAAAGACAATTTCATTCAAATTAGTCCAGTTGAAACCAATAACGTGGGCAGACTTGCTCTGTGAAGAGAACAAAATAATAACAAATTAAAGAAATTCTTTACATAAACAATTCCTGAAAGCAGTTGGATCCCCAGCTGTCAGGTTGTAAAGGAGGCAAAAAATTAAGATCTTGTATTCTTACTGATTAATGAGGTTAAGCTAGAAAATGAGGCTTTCTATATATTTGGTCCACATAATTCACAGCCGATCTTTCCATACAAGATACTGGTGTATGAAATTTTCCATTAAAACTGGGCCCAGTTGTTCGAAGGCTGATAAGTGGTAACTTGCCAAAGGGTAAGGGTAAAGTTAATTTATTTATTAACATTAACTAGGGTTAGATTTTAATCAAGTTTTCTTTATCCCTTTGGTTAAAAGCCTCTCTTAGATAATTTTCTCTATTCTTTGAATGGCATCCACTCATCAAATTGTATACAAAAGTAACTTTATTGAATTTTCTCTTTAAAGCTTTCAGATCTTAAATAAGATTTCACACTAACCCTGGGTTATCTTAACCAAGCTTTGAACAACCTGATCCAGCACCATACGTGGTGTAAAGCTTAAACACAATAATTAAATGTACCACACCTTACATGTCTGACTATACGGTTGGCTATCAATTCCATCTGCAAAGTTAAGGAACTCCTGGAAATAAATTAGATTTATAGAGAGAATGCAAATATTTGAAAATACCCCTTTTTGATTAGTTTCAATAATTATTAAACATTTAAGTAGAGAGTGAAAATAAAACATGAGTTAAATTGAATTGAATTCCTTACCACAACTTTTAAGGATCTCTGGATTGCTAGTATCTTGCGATCATAGGAGAATTTAATTGACTGTACATATCCCATTGTTTGTATGCTGCGAATGCACATAATAAGATATATGAAATAACCTCAAATGGAAGGAAGGGAAAGGACAGTAAAGGAATGGGAAGAGAAGCAAAGAGAAGGGAGGGGAGGGAAGAGAGGAGATGGAGACAGGAAAATAGGAGAGCAGTAAGATATGTAATCCACTTGTTTTTCAAATGGTCAGATCCACAGGCCTAAGGCTAAAAATCATGTGGTTTACAGCTTATAAAGTTAACTATCTCTCACTTCGCTCTGACGAAGGGCTAACGCTCGAAACGTCAGCTTTTATAATCGTAACAGTGTCCAATTTACCATTTCAATTTTGTTGATATATTCAAATTATCTCTCATTTAGTAACTTCACAAATTTTGGTACTATTTTGAAGTTAGGGAATTTCTGCCACCTCCCTAAATCCTTTATAAAAATGCTTGGAATTCTGCAATTCGATACATATCAGCTCCAAAAACATTGCAAGATATCTTGTTCCTTCTGCATCTTCAATGCATTTATTTATTAACATTAATATTTAGTTCTTATTAACCAAGCAGGAGGTCTGTATGGGAGAATCTTGACCAAGGTCGCCAGTACAGACCAAACGCAGTGAGGTCTGTGCCAGTGACCGAGGTTAAGATTCTCCCATACAGACTGACCTAGCTCGGTTAGTAAGAAGTTTATTATATATGGCTGTGTCTTATATGCCAATTTTTTATATTCTTTTTTTCCCCTTTTTTTCTAGACCAGTCTAGATGCCAGTCTAGATGGGAAAATCTAGACCGCTTTCAATATTGATTTCAGCCAATCAAATTTGTGAATTCGGTAGTTCCCAGTCCTTGTGAGACACAGCCATAAATTATAATAATGCATAATACAAGCCAACGACCTACTTGAAGACGACAAATGACTTCAGATCAGGACCTCTGACTACAACACAGGTTTTTCCATCCACACTGGTAACAGAGAAGACCTAAAAGAAAATTCTTACACATTTAAAGGAGCACTCTTATGAAATCACCCTATAATTTGAAAACCCAAGAAATTCAGTTATTTCATTAAAATATGAATTTTTGTGATTCATTAAGCCTTTTCAATGATAATTTTAGTTGAAAGTCAATTCTAGGGC